TAATGCTATAACTAGTACTCAAGCAGTATTTTTTCACTTTATGTTTCTGTGTGGGTGCAAACTGTTGAAATCTTTACTTAATATATGCTAAACTGATCTTCTGTATATAAAGATAATTGAAAAATGAATCTTAATGAGAAATGGAAGGGGAGAGGGAGAGGGAAAGGGGAGGGTTGCGGGTGGGAGGGACGTTATGGGGGTGGAAGCCATTGTCATCCATAAGCTGTACTTTGGAAATTTATATTCATTAAATAAAAGTTTAAAAAAACTAATTTAAGGTTAAAATAGATTAAGATAAAAATAATTCAACATGCAATGGAGTAAATTATTAACTATATAATTCATAAGTATTAAGGAAATGGAGGGGCTGGCACTATGGCATACATAGCACTTAAAGCCACCACCTGCAGTGCTGGCATCCCATGTGGGTGCTGCTTTGTGTCCCAGCTATTCCACTTCCAATCCAGCTCTCTGCTATGGCCTGGGAAAGCAGTAGAAGATGGCCCAAGGCCTTGGGCCCCTGCACCCATGTGGGAAACCCGGAAGAAGTTTCTGGCTCCTGGCTTCGAATTGGCGCAGCTCCGGCCGTTGCAGCCAATTGGAGCGTGAACCAGTGGATGGAAGGATTCTCTGTCTCTGCCTTTCCTTCTCCCTCTGTGTATCTCTGACCTCCAGATAATAAATAAGCCTTTAAAAAAAGGAAATGGAAATTCTGATTAGCCTGATTTAATCTTTACATATTATATGCATATAACGAAGTATCACACTGTACCCCACAAAACTTTACAGATGTGGAAATAGATAATGCACCAAAAAACAAGGAAAGTTAAATAAAGAAGGTGGATTTTTAAAAACAAATGAACCCATTGGAGTGTACTCTTCAGCAAAATAGAAGAATCATAGCAACATTAACAAAACAAAACAGCATGGATGGCAGCAGAGACATTCTGAGATCTGAGCAGTGGACTCAAGAACAGCATGGGCCCTGAATGCAGCAAGAGGATGTTTTAAAACAGTGGTCAACCTAGAATCATATATTCAGTGAAACACTTTTCCTTCTCAGAAAAACAAAGACTAAGACTGTTAACCACCGAAAGACTCTCAATGAACACACAGTAAAAGCTATTTCTGAGTTGGCAAATGATCACAGAAGACAGAAGAAAATTGGGGAAGGGGATTAAATAGGCAGACAGTAGGCTGGTAATCGTTAACACAGAGATTGCCTCCACAAATCAGTGATAATGAAGTGTAATTTGGGTGGAGGAAAAAGAATACGGTGCTAAAACGCTAAAAATAATGTATAAGACAAATGAAGAGGGCCCAGGTTTCTTGGATTTAGGAGGAAGAGAGTGGGGATATTTAATTATCTAGATTCTGTCAAGTAGACATTAAGTTTTAAGGGTTAAAGGGAAATGAATTCTCATACTGTCTTTGAAGTAGGAACTGCACTTAAGATTTCAACCAAAAGGAAAGCTTTTTCTTATCAAATAACTCCAGCTAATGCACATAGAAGAAATAATTAGAAAATACCATTCCATTACCTTTAATTTAAAAGAAGAGTTCAGCAAGAATTGCCAAAGGTTGCTAAAACCATTTTATGAAATCTTCATGGGGAACTGAATATTTGCAAAGTGTTACCCCACAGGTTACTTGTGAATCACAAGAAGAAAAACCAACCATTACAATGAAGGTGTCAGGCTTACCTCATCTAAACCCAGTGTAAATACCAGCATCACTATTATGAATGGACTGAGACAATTTGTGTATCCCTATGTGAAGCAATGTGAAACAAACAGCATTGTCTAGGATGTATTTTCACCTAAAGTGGGTAACCTGCATCCAATCAAGTATTTAGCTCTCCTTGTTTATAGGAAATTCAGTGTTTGGTAGAATAAATTAACAACAGAAGGAAACAATTAGGCAAATTAGAATTTGGGACTTTCAGGGGCCAGAGCCATAGCGCACTAGGTTAATCCTCCGTCTGCGGCGCCGGTTCTAGTCCCGGCTGCTCTTCTTCCAATCTCACTCTCTGCTGTGGCCTGGGAAAGCAGTAGGAGATGGCCCAAGTGCTTGGGCCCCTGCACCTGCAGGAGACCAGGAAGAAGCACCTGGCCCCTGGCTTCAGATTAGCACAGCTCCAGCTGTTGCAGCCATTTGGGGAGTGAACCAACAGAAGGAAGACCTTTGTCTCTGTCTCTCCCTCTCACTGTCTGTAACTCTACCTCTCAAATACAATAAATAAAATCTTTAAAAAAAGAATTTGGGACTTTCTGCAAGGCACTTGGCTTAGTCTCTACAGCTGGATAATGACATGAAAAGAAAGATGGAAGAGATATTCTAGATTCAGAGAGGCTTCAGAGACATAAAACATAATGACCAAAAACAACGCATAGATTAAGATTGGATCTTAGTTTACACAAAGCAACCATAAAATATAATTTGGAAACAACTGGAGGAATGTGACTTCTAATTGGGTACTAACTAATTTCCTTTTTGATTGTTGTCTTTTTTGAGAGGCAGAGAGGCACATGATAGAGAGGGACCAACAAACAGACACAGCCTCCAGCCACTGTTCCTCTTCCCAAAAGCCCACAATGGCCAGGTGTAGTAGAGACCAAAGCCAGGAGCCCAGAACTGAATCCAAGTCTCCTACATGGTGTCAAGGACTCAAGTACTTGATCATCACCTCTATCTCCCAGGATGTGCATTAATAGGAATCTAGAATTGGGAGCACAGCCAGGTTTTGAAGCTGAAATAAATATGGGTTTCCTATTGAGCATCTTAACAACCAGGTCCTCCACCCACCATGAAATTTTCTCATTTACAAGAGATTGTGTTAAACTATTTGGAGAAAAAATGATGACTTTCTGCAACTTAAAGCATATGTAAGGTCCAGCGCTGTGGCATAGCAGGTAAAGCCACCAACTGCAGTGCCGACATCCCACATGGGCACCGGTTCGAGTCCTGGCTGCTCCACTTCCAATCCAGCTCTCTGCTATGGCCTGGGAAAACAGTGGAAAAATGGCCCAAGTCCTTGGGCTCCTGCACCTGCGTGGGAGACCAGGAAGAAGATCCTGGCTCCTGGCTTCAGATCAGCGCAGCTCCAAACAGTGCAGCCAATTTGGGAGTGAACCAACGGATGGAAGACCTCTCCCTCTCTCTCTGCCTCTCCTTCCCTCTGTGTAACTCTGACTTTCAAAATAAATTAATAAATTTTAAAAAGTATATATATATAATAAAAACACACAAAGCAATTATGAAATGAAAAAGATGTTCAGTCTATCTGTGGCATGAGAATAGGCTATGTAGTGCAATGCTGCCTTCAGGAAGACAAGAATATAACACAGTAGTTCTGATGAGTGACAATGGAGACTTGGGCAAGATTAGTATAAGTGAAAGCTGTATAGTTTGGTTCGATTTTGAAAATACTTTGGAGGTAGAAGTAAACATATTGACTGAAGGAGTGAACATTTGGCATGACAGAAGATTTGAGGGTTTAAAGATTTTTGAGCAGGGGATATTTTCCATATTTAAGATTAGGGAAGACTGAAGGGCAAACTTGGGTGCATGGGAAGAATGCCATAAGCTCAGTTTTGGAAATAATAATCTGGGAAATCATTTGGATCTATGAACCTCAGGTTAATTGGAGTTGCAGGTGTATACATGTTAGAGCTTTCAGCCTGTAGCTATCATATAATGTAGCATAAAATGAATAGATATATAAGAATAAAAGAGCAAGAGGCAAGATATCTGGTGCATGTTCTGGGTCATTCTAAAGTTATTTGTAATGCAACTAAGGAGGGACAAGGAAAGGACTATGAAAAGATGAGGAAATGCTGGGTCGTGGTGTACAGAACTGTTGAGCTTTAGTAGATATTGCTAGCTACCTGAAGTGGTTGTGTACTGATTTACACTTCCAAGAGCAGTGTTTAAGAATGATGTTGGGCCGGCACTGTGGCACAGCGGGTAAATGCCCTGGCCTGAAGCACCAGCATCCCATATGGGCGCCAGTTCGAGACCCAGCTGCTCCACTTCTGATCCAGCTCTCTGCCATGGCCTGGGAAAGCATCAGAAGATGGCCCAAGTGCTTGGGCACCTGCACCCACGTGGGAGACCCAGAGGAACCTCCTAGCTCCTGGCTTCGGATCAGTGCAGCTGCAGATGTTGCGGCCAATTGGGGGAGTGAACCAATGGATGGAAGACCTCTCTCTCTCTCTCTAATTCTGACTTTCAAATAAAATAAATAAATCTTTAAAAAAAAGAATTATGTTGGCTCTGAATCTTCCCTGGTAGCTTAGCATATTGTGACTAACTTTTACCTTATTGTAAGCTATCTGTAAATATTCATTTAAAACTATAAAATATAAGATGCATAGAGGTCATTCTTTGTCCAAGACACCTGAGAAATTATTTTCAAATTTTGGGTGTCATTATGTCTTTTTGCTAATGTTATTGCTAATAACGATCAACATTTAGTTGGTGCTGATTGTGTGCCTGGCAGTAATGTGTGAGTTCTGAATGTATCAGTTAAGTGCCCTTGAACCTCTGTCTACTACTAGGCATCTCAATTTTCAGAGAAAAGCCAAGGCACAGAGAATGAACACCATCAGGGAGATTGCAAAGTAAGTTAGTGCTGAACCCATTGTAGTGTGTTTAAAAATTTACTCTTCTCTTTGTACTTGACTGCCTCTCATGGAAGAATGGTGGTTGTTTAATATATCCTGTGCTGCTCTAGAAAAGATCATTTATGTTTGATGTGTGGTTGTTGGCACCTTTCCTCATCTGACTGCTAATATCAGTAGAGGAGAATCAATGTCTACAGCACGATAAACTTCTGTTCTGACACTAAGATTAATAGGGTGGTTATTTTTTAATGTTTAAAATATAACTGAGATATAATAGGAACATTTTAGGGTATTACAACCTGAGAGCATTTGCAAAATCCAGCATTAGCAAAATTTAACAAGTTTCCACTTCATTTCTTCCCATGGCTGTTTTAGATTTTGAGCCGTATCCAGGTGACAATGTAGAAGTTGTGTTTTCTGTCCAGCAAGAGACGCAGAGAAGAAAGGTCCTTTCAGTGAGGCCTCGAAGACACAAGCATGTGCATGAGGTCAGTGGTTTCAGTGCTGCACTAGTCCTTTGTTTCTCTTTATCTTTCCTTCATTGTTAATTTCTGCCTATCGAGATTCTGTTATGTGGATTGTGAAACTATGGCAAAATATCTTAGTTTCCAAAAAGTAGCCTATTTCTTTATTTAAAAGGCTGTACTTCTGAAGGGAAATAGTGAGAGAATGATGTAGACAGTCATGCAATTAAGATGCGAAGTATGTAGTTTACTTGTTAGTTAACAAAATGTTCTAAAAACAAAAGTAGTAAACAAATCGTGCCTTATGGACTACTTGGGAACGTCAGAATGGAGTGAGTTGTTGTATTTGAGTTTTCTGGTAATATCTAGGTATGATTTGGTGGCTAGTGGAGCCTGAAAGTGTAAGGAAATTCAGTTGGAGTGATGGTGCAGATGAAATAATGATCTTAGAATGTGATAGAGGAAGCAGGGAAAAATGATAGTCTGTTCTTACCTCCACATCTCTTTCTCATTCAGTCCCTTTCACTCTCTCAACAGTAACATAAAGAGACTGTGGACCACTGTGAATAATATTAACCACAGGCTTTCACAGCAGAGACTCTGGCCCCCTTCCCAGAGACTGATTTCATTTGTGTTTTTTGTAGTCTGAGCATGGGCATGCTTACAAAGCACCCCAGGGCTTTACCATGTATCAAACAAGTTGAGAGTCAAAGTGACCCGTAGGTGAGAGTTGGAGGAGCAGGTGCAGAACAGGCTGTTGGGTGTGATGCTTTCACATAATCGTCTTCACCGTTGACCTCCACAGGTGTGCATTACTAGTGTACATGGAAGAAACGGGGTGATAGATGATGCCATCTTCTTCACCTTGGATTCTCTGATACTTCCTGATGGATACGTGCCTCAAATCCATGATGTCGTCAATGCTGTGGTAGTGGAGAGTGTTCATGCAGGCTATATTTGGAGAGCAGTCTCTATCACCCCTGTGGCAACAGAGTAAAAGCGGAATCTGTTTATTCTCTGTGCATCCTTTCTTCCATGGGTAGTACAGGTTCCAGAGCAAATGTGTTTTGAAAAAAAATAAATTAATAAATCTCAGTAATTATTTCTCAGACAGGTATTCAAATCCTCAGTGTGTTGGCTAAAAGAATTCTATGTTCTTAAGAATGTTCATAGTTTTTCATGATTAATTAAAGGCATTTCCCTACTACTCCTGTCTAATGATTTTCACTGTATCAGAGGCATTTGCATTTTAATTAATTTACATGGTTTTTTTCTTTCCTGGACCCCTATTTTTTTTGGTATAATTTTTTTTACTTTTATTTAATGAATATAAATTTCCAAAGTGCAGCTTATGGATGACAATGGCTTCCCCCCATAACGTCCCTCCCACCCGCAACCCTCCCCTTTCCCTCTCCCTCTCCCCTTCCATTCACATCAAGATTCATTTTCGATTCTCTTTAAATACAGAAGATCAGTTTAGCATACATTAAGTAAAGATTTCAACAGTTTGCTCCCACACAGAAACATAAAGTGAAAAATACTGTTTGAGTACTAGTTATAGCATTAAATCTCAATGTACAGCACATTAAGGACAGAGATCCTACATGAGGAGTAAGTGCACAGTGACTCCTGTTGTTGACTTAACAAATTGACACTCTTGTTTATGGCATCAGTAATCACCCTAGGCTCTAGTCATGAGCTGCCAAGGCTATGGAAGCCCCCTGAGTTCACTGACTCTGATCATATTTAGACAAGGCCATGGTCAAAGTGGAAGTTCTCTCCTCCCTTCAGAGAAAGGTACCTCCTTCTTTGATGACCCATTCTTTCCACTGGGATCTCACTCGTGGAGATCTTTCATTTAGGTTTTTTTTTCCCCAGAGTATCTTGGCTTTCCATGCCTGAAATACTCTCATGGGCTTTTCAGCCGGATCCGCATGCCTTAAGGGCTGATTCTGAGGCCAGAGTGCTGTTTAGGACATCTGCCATTCTATGGGTCTGCTGTGTATCTCGCATCCCATGTTGGATCGTTCTCTCCCTTTTTTATTCTATCAGCTAGTATTTGCAGACACTAGTCTTGTTTATGTGATCCCTTTGGTTCTTAGTCCTATCATTATGATCAATTGTGAACAGAAATTGATCACTGGGACTAGTGAGATGGGACTGGTACATGCCACCTTGATGGGATTGAATTGGAACCCCCTGGTATGTTTCTAACTCTACCGTTTGAGGTAAGTTTGACCCCTATTTTTTATACATATGTTGACAGAAATTTCTTTACCTGTTTGTTTTTTTTTTTTTTTTTTTTTTGACAGGCAGAGTGGACAGTGAGAGAGAGACAGAGAGAGAAAGGTCTTCCTTTTGCCGTTGGTTCACCCTCCAATGGCCGCCGCTGCAGCCGGCGCACCGCGCTGATCCTGGCAGGAGCCAGGAGCCAGGTGCTTTTCCTGGCCTCCCATGGGGGGCAGGGCCCAAGCACCTGGGCCATCCTCCACTGCACTCCCTGGCCATAGCAGAGAGCTGGCCTGGAAGAGGGGCGACCGGGACAGAATCCGGCGCCCCAACCGGGACTAGAACCCGGTGTGCCGGCGCCGCAAGGTGGAGGATTAGCCTATTGAGCCACGGCGCCGGCTCAATAAGGATCTTTACCTGTTTATTTTTTTATCATGAAATCTTTATGTGATTTTTATCATTTCATTTGTTTAGTGTGATATATATCATTATTGCATATGCCATACCAGTCTTTTATCCTAGATTTAAATCCTCCTTGGTCATGGTGTGTAAACTCCTTGATGTGTTCCATTAGATTTACTAGTAATTTATTGAGGACTTTTTTGTATGTAACATTGGTTTATAGTTTTCTTGCAGTATCTTTGTTTAGCTTTTGTGTCAGGGTAATGCTGGCCTCGTAAAATGAGTTTGGAAATATTTCTTCTAATACCTTTTTTTGTTAAAGATTTATTAATTTATTTGAAAGTCAGAGTTATGGAGAGAGAGACAGAGAGAGAGACCGATCGACTGATCCGAATCCAGGAACCAGGAGCCTCCTCTGGGTCTCCCCCACAGGTACAGGGTTCCAATGACTTGGGCCATCTTGTACTGCTTTCCCAGACCATAGCAGAGAGCTGGATCAGAAGTGGAGAGTCTGGACTTGAACTGGTGCCCATATGGGATGCTGGCAACTGCAGGCTGTGGCTTCACTTGGTAAGCCACAGCACCTGACCCTCCCTCTAATTCAAGTTTAAGGTGGCTTGTTATTAGTTCCTCTTTGGTAGAATTTATCTGTGAAACAGTCTGATTCTGGGCTCCTCTTTGTTGGAAGGATTTTGCTTGATTAATTTTCTTTATTTGTAATTAGTCTCTTCTGGCTACTTTTTCTTTAGACCCAATGTTGGTAGGTTGTTTGTAGGAATTTATTTCCTGTAGTTTTCCAGTTTGTTGGTAAATAATTATAATATGGCTTTATGACCATTTTTATTTCTGAGGCATCAGTTGAAAAGGTAATATATTCTCATTTCTGATTTTATTTATTTGAATCTTCTCTCAGTCTGGCTAAGGCTATGTCAATTTTGCTTTTTTCTAAGAAGACCTCTAAATTTTGTTTTTTTTTTTTTTCTATAGTTTGATTTATTTCTGCTCTGATCCCTATTTTCTTTTTTTAGCAATCACATAAGGAAGAATTTGAGGTTTAACATGAAATCACACAAATAAAATTTGTATAAACAGAAATCCATATTGAGTCATAACAGATAGCAAACAACAAAGTAAAAACAAAACTAATTGACACTTATGCACAGTTGGATACATTTGTGCCTTGTACACTAGAAAGTCTTTTACAAAATAATCATCTTAGAAGATCAATCTTCCGTTCCCTACTGCAATATGATTTTCTTTAGCATCTCCTGTTTTCTCCAGAGCCCTCCTTTAGTAAAGCTATTAATTGTTTTGGTGATTGCCACCCCCTCAATGCCTTGCCTGAAGTGCTCTGTTGACCACTGTAATCTGCATATTCCTATCCATAGTTCCATAATAGTTACTAAATCCTTGGTTCTAGTTTTGGCACTGACCTCTTCTACCAGCTGCAGCACCTCTTTCTCCTTTTTGTTGTTGCTGCCTATATACCTCTTTGGGTTGTGTCACTTTGATTTCACACTTCCCAGTACCAATTTAATTGTATCTGCTTTCCAACAATTTCTTTATTTGGGGAGTGAACCAGCATATGGAAAATCTCCCTAACCCTCCCTCTCCCCCTCTGTAACTCTCTTTCCCATATATAAATCTTAAATTAAAAAAAAGAGTACATGTAACAGAAGAGCAAAAAGAAATATGTGGTGTATATTGTGGTACAACAGGTTAACCCGTCCTGTTGTGACTCCTGCATATTCTAATGGAGTGCCTAAATTTGAGTCACAGCTACTCTGCTTGTGATCCACCTTCTTGACCCCTATTTTATACATATGTTGACAGAGATTTTACTATTCTCAGTTTGCTCTGTGGTCCAGTGTGCACTCCCAGCTACCCAGTGGTGAGTCCCCCACATCAGATGCTGAGTTGGAGTCTTTACCTCTAGACTCGTGTACTCTCTCATTGGTTTACCCCACAAGGAATCATTGTTTCCTGTGTGACAGCTGCAGAGGTTCCAGTCTTGAGTACAAGGACACAATGCTGGCCCTCATGAACAGCCTTCTGTGAAGGACTCTTGATTTCCTGTATCAGGTTGCAGTAGCTCCTGGGATACAGAGGGCAAGTGGGAGCAGTGGCAGCATACGTCCCTGTGGAAGTCAGCATTCCAAGCAGCCTCATGGCTGGGATGCCTACAGAGAAGGCCACAGTCAGACAGGAGGAGTGCGTGGACAGTGGATTCTACCTGCTGAGTTCTCCAATTTGCCTGATGTGGAAGGGGCTTCTCTGAGAGCAGGAAGCAGATTGTGCCAAGTGCAGTGAAGTGGGACTCAGTTATAGCCACTGTACCACTAGCATCTTCCCTGCACTGGGTGAGTCACTTCAGCACCTGGGCTGCAGCAGGTTAGGGGAAAATCAATTTCCTTTTTGCACTTGGCAAGTCCAGGATCCTTGTTCTTACAGGGCAGGCAAACCACAGTGCACATTGAACATATTGCCTCCAGGGTATGGCAGCTCCAAGGCTTTGATCATAATTTGGAAGACAGGATCCTGGATCATCTCACTCACACTGACATCTCAGTGGCAGAAAAACCCTGGGAGTTGGAAGTAGCAGTTTTTGATAGCAATGTATTATTTGCAGGTGGAGAGGAAAGGGCATGAAGGGAGCTGCCTACCAGAGATTCTAGATCTGCAGTGTTCTGAGCTGCAGTGTTCCCCTAGGCATGCAGTGCAGGTTGGTGCATTTGCTAACACAGGGAAGGACTCACACCCCGAGAAAGAAAAAAAGACACTGATCCTGAGCAGGACGCTTGGCCTACTGCCTGGATCCAGTCTTACCTGCTGCCTGTTTGATTGTAAACATGCAGTTCACCATTTAGAGTGTACAGTTTATTGATTTTAGTACATTCAGAGCCCTGTGTATCCAATATGATTTTAGACAGTTTTAATGTCCATATAAAACAATGGAATGTAAATAATATTTTATATCATCATTTTATTTTTTATTTTTTTTTATTTTTTTTTGACAGGCAGAGTGGACAGTGAGAGAGAGAGAGAGACAGAGAGAAAGGTCTTCCTTTGCCATTGGTTCACCCTCCAATGGCCGCCGCGGCCGGCGCGCTGCGGCCGGCGCACCGCGCTGATCCGATGGCAGGAGCCAGGAGCCAGGTGCTTTTCCTGGTCTCCCATGGGGTGCAGGGCCCAAGCACTTGGGCCATCCTCCACTGCACTCCTTGGCCACAGCAGAGGGCTGGCCTGGAAGAGGGGCAAGTGGGACAGAATGTGGCACCCCGACCAGGACTAGAACCCGGTGTGCCGGCGCCGCTAGGCGGAGGATTAGCCTAGTGAGCCGCGGCGCCGGCTATATCATCATTTTGATAGAGTCTGAAGTATTTAATCATTTTCTTGCATTTTAAAATTCAGCTCTGTAAGTGGTTGTGAAGCTCTGTAAACATTGACACTATACTCTGATGGTCACATACGTGGCATCAGCTTCCACTTGTGATCTGAATATCACATCTACGTTCCGCCTCACGCAAGCAACTGAAGTTAAATGCATAACCAAGTACA